GGGGGGGGGTGGGGGGGGGGGACCCCCTTTTAAAAAAAAAAAAAAAGGAACCAAAAAAAACTGTAAAAAAAAAAGAATTTTAAAAAACCAAACAAAAACCAAACCACAAAACCAAACCAAACCACAATCGAAGTATAAATGCATCTGAAAAGCAATTATAATATAGACATATATATATTTTGTTATGTTACTAAAGGATCATACTTGGAATTGTACGTCAGCAGCTGTGGTTGGCTGACCTGGGTTGTGGCACTGGATCCTGCTGAGCTCCTGTACATACATGCAGTGACAGCAGAAGGAATTACTTTATGTTCTAGCATGGTAGTTTGTGTGTTGTACGTCCGAATATCAACTAAAATAAAGATTGCTAAGTTATCTGAAACCACTGTTGTAAAATAAATGTTTTCAATGCAGAAAAGCGCCTCAGCTTTTTCTTTTGCTGGAGCTGCTCCCAGGAGGAAGGGTGTGGAGCTGGGTGGGAGGTGGGAGAGGCTCCCCCAGCTCCTGCTGTCCCTGGATGGGCACGTTGTGGTGGAGCCCCCTGGAATTTTTGAGCGTTAAAGGCCGAAATCTGATCAATATGATGCTGGATGATGGCAGGTATTTGGGGTGTAAACACAAGTTGCAGCGTCCAGGGGCTGATAGAAATGGTGGGAGGGTGGTTGGGAAGGGGTTGGCTGCTCTGGCTGTGGTGGAGGTCTGTGTTTGCTGGTGTCCTCAGAGGCTGGTTTTGCTCCTGGTGGTGCCGGTGGAGACAGAAGCAAAGATGGGTGAAGGCTGCACCAAAGACTGCTCCAAGACCTGTTCTACAGCCAAGGCAGCACCAACCAGATCCTGACCCTGAGCGTGGGGCCGTGGTGGAGGAAAGGCTGCCCCAACCCTGCCCTGGGAGAGGGTGGTTCTGCACTTGATGGAATCCATAAGGAGGTAAGCATGAAGTGGGGCTGTTCCAGCTGGGAGAGTGTTCTCCACCAGGACTCACCATGGGGATGGGGGGACTGTGCCTGGCCCCACCCCAGCCCTGGTGAGCAGTAGAAATCCCCCTGCTCCTCCCTTCTCCTCCCTTCTCCCTGCTCGTCCCTTCCCCTCCCTTCCCCTCCCTCTCCTGCCAGGTCCAGGGGCCTCAGCTCAGCCAGTCCCAGCACTCCTATCCCACCAGCTGCCTCAGCCTGTGTAGTCCCCTCTGATTTAACAAACAGTTCCTCCTTTTCCTTGCAGCAATTACTGCTTTTATGTATTCCTCTCGTTTTTCATAATGGGAGAAAAATGTATCTTTAGAAGAAAAAAACACACCCAGCCCACAGAGCAATCACAGAGCATTAGGAGTGTGAGGAGAAGCTTTGTCCTGGGTCACCACCACCTTCTGAGAAGATCAAACTTGGTTTGAGGGACCCAGGGCTGATCCACAGGATAGTTTTTCTTGCTGGCACCAGAGCTGCTCTAGTGCAGCCCTGGAAGGGCTGCAGAAGGAGGATGAGGGCCCTTCTGGTCCTGTGGGATGGTGGAGTGTGGTTGCATGGGTGATGGGCTCATGGGTCATGGTGGTGGGCTCCTGGATGATGGTGATGGGTTAATGAATGAGGCTGATCACTTGTGGGTGATGACCATGGGGTCATGGGTGATGGTGACTGATGGGTGATCCTGCTCTCTCACAGATGACATTGACCCCTCACAGGCAGCAGATGTGCTGTGGTGGGATGTAACCACCCATTCCCCATCCCAACCAACTCAAGACCCTCTTGTGGGATGGACCACGAGCACGAGCTGCCCCCTCCCAATGCCACGGGCTGCTTGTGCAGGCTCACATGGCTGCTGAGTGGTGCAGCTCCTGCCTCTCCCTGGGTTTTATGCTGGTGTCTTTCACCCATTGCTGCATCTGGGATTGCTGTGGAGATATTTGGGTCCTTGGGTGGTGGTAGCAGCTCTGGGAGGGGAAAGGGTGCTTGGTACCCATGGTTGGTGCACCATCAGTATGTCAAAGCATTTCCAAACCCTGTGTCCGCAACAGAGTTGGATCCAGAGGGGTCAGAATGAAGGATAACCCCACCCTGGGGGTGTGGGGGGGAAGGACAAGAGCACAACAGCGGGTGCAAGGGTGACTTTAATATACAACAGTGAGAGCAACACGGGGGGACACAGCAAGGGGGACCCCACCAGGCATGGGGGGGAGGTCCCCGGGGGGGGCCCCAGCCCCTGCCTGGGCAGCAGCATCTCCCCCTTCCCTGCTCTGCCACGGCTCCTCGCTACCGGGTCGGTCTCCTGTATTTTTCCTCCCACTTCCAGGACCTTCTCTCATTTTCCTATACTCTGCAGCAGGAGCTTATTGCTCAGCACCTTCTGGGCCAGTCTCTCCTCCCGGGACATCTCCAGGAACTCGCGCAGGAGGTGGAAGGTGAGATCCAGGGAGTTGGGTTTGCTGTCCCGCCTCTTGCCGCTCTGCAGCCCCCGCGGGGTGCGGGGGGCCGGGCTGGGCTCTGCCCCGCGGACCTGGCACAGTCTTTGGGGCAGAGGGTGGGCGGTGGGGCCCGGGGGTCGCGGGGCTCCCGGCCAGGGCTCCCAGGGGTCCCCTCCCAGGGGTCCTGGGGGGATGGACCCCGGGGCCACTGCAGGGGCGAGCAGGTCTCGGAGGGCAGGAAGAGCAGGACGAGGACGGAGGCAGCAGAAATCATCCTGACCCGCATCGCAGCTGCTCCAGGGCCAGACGCCTGTAAAAGCCCCCAGACCCCGGACCCCCACATC